TTGTTTTGCCACTACTACGCTTTTAAGTTTCCTTTTTTTTTCTTTCTTTCTTTTGGCGAGAGTCCTTTCTAACATTTCTTTGATTATCCTTTCTTGGTCCCGAGAGACGTTGAATGGAACGCTCAGTTAATGGGATGCAATTTCATATCAACACAGCGGCGGAGTGTTTATGCGTTTTGATTATTCTTCTGAAAAAAAATAAAAAATTAAATTAAGTGTAGGCTTTGTCTTTTGTTTTCCCCGGTCGCCCAACAAAGAAATGCTCTCTTTTGTAATCACGCATAAACTTGGGCGAATGACATTGTCTGGGTTGCCATTGTAGATAACTGGTGATTAAAGTGGATGTTAGCGCGGGGCATGGCTCGGCACAGGCTAATAAAGCATGTCAGTCAATGGGAGGGGTGGTGCTGTTTATTCACTGGAGGGTTGGGGGAGAGAGTGGATGATGAAGAGGAGGGGAGGGGGTAGTTGTACAAAATAAAGTGTGACCCAAAAACACTTTAATAGGAGTGAATGAAAATAGATATTAAACTGAGAAAAAAGAGGAGCTGTTTTGGGTTCTGTCTGTCTGAAAACGGTGAAATGGAAGCTCGGTGGCACAGTCTGGCCAACACTGAGGCCTCACGGTAACTGGGTCCCTGGTTCAATTCTTGGAAGTTTGCTTGTATTCTCTGACGGATTCACATATACCACCCCCAATCACTCGCCTGTGCATCGCATTCACACAGGCACGATGGGTAATGTGTAGAACTACATATATAGTGTGTAGTTCTGCACCGGGTCGGGTGCCAATGCAAACAGTTGCTGAAATGGGCGGGTTTTAACGTTTTGGAATTTTTCAGGTAGGTATGCGTGCAGGTAGTGAATACACACAGGCGGGTCAGGTGAATCAAATTAACCATGAATGGGAGAAAAATACTTGACGCTCGACCAGGACATCTGGTCTTTCCCTGGAACGATGGTAAACCAGGTTGAGAGAGTGACTTTAGTGTATTGCCTACATAAAACCCATCAGTGGAGGTGATCAGCTCAGTGGCTGCGCTCCTGGTTTCCACCTTTTTAAGTCTTAGTTCAGTCCTGGTTTAGACCTGGTTAAATCCTGGTTTAAACCTGGTTTAGTCTTGGTTTAGTACTGGTTAAAGTCCTGGTTCAGTCCTGGTCCAGTCCTGATGTAGTCCTGGTAATCGGTTCGGCAGTTGTGGCATGTATATATTTATCCTAATGGCACTGGTTTAGTCCTAGGTTAGACCTGGTTCAGTCCTGGTTCAGTCCTGGCTCAGTCCTGGCAATAAGCTCGGCGAATGTGGCATGTATATATTTATGCTAATGACACTGGTTTAGTACTAGTTTAGTCCTGGTTTAGCCCTGGTTTAGTCCTGGTTCAGTCCTGGTATAGTCCTGGTTCAGTCCTGGTATAGTCCTGGCAATTGGCTCGGCGGTTGCAGCAAATAAATATTTATAATTCACTATTGACATGCCGTAGGTTCAGTCCTGGTTTAGTCCTGGTTTAATCCTGGACTACTGCGCTGTCAGACTGATGGGCTGACCCCAATTTATCACAGGTTAACAGGCGGGTGTGATGCAGTACTGTGCAGGTGTGTGCGGGTGTGGGTCTCCAAAAATGGACCCTTGCAGGACTCTGATGTGTCTTGGCCATGGACACAATAAAAATGTGAATAGAATAGAGCTGAACAGACCTTGAGTGAAGAGGCTGCACTAGCACTGAGTAATCATTGGCACGCACTGAGATCAGAGAGAGTCCACTGATTTATTTCCAGCTGGTTTTGAGAACTGGCAAACCCTAGTGAGGCTCACTCTGCTTTCCACTAGGAGCTTGAGAGCCAAAACAACAAATTACAACAACAAATCAACATTACACTTGGTATCTGTGTGGTATAGTGTGTCTTCTTCCTTTCTGGGGCACAGACCGGTCAAGATTATGACATTTTAAATATAAATTCTACATCTCCCCCCTTTAAGGTGCAAGATATTTCTGTTGAGATTGTGAGCAGTATTTCTTGACTTAATTTTATAATGTCAGCTTAGGGAGCCTATTACCATCTGGCGGGGGACTGCCGATGAAAACCAGCCTTTTGGGTAATTCGGGTACATTTAAATTATTGTAACGTTTGTTAAAGTACGCTGTCCCACAGAAAACCAATCAAATAAATTAAATAAATAAAGCTTTTGCCAATACAGTGCTGTTACTTGAATAAAAACATTACATATATGTTGCTAGAAAAGTAGCCTACTCAGAAAAGTACAAGTTACTCAAGTAAATGTAACTGAGCATAAGTCAGTACGATATTTTCTATGGCCTAAAAGTCTTACTTGCTTGGCTCTGGGCGTTGTCTTCAAATCAACAATCCATATTCAACTTCAGCAACATTTTATTTCCTTGTTAAATACATGGTGCGTGTTAAAATGGGAATAGCTAAAAACAACATCTGCAGCTCCACTACTAAGCACATTTTTTATCGAAATGACCCAAAAAATCCTGTCAGTTGAAATAACAGCTCCCTCCCCGCAAAGGACAAGGTGTTTTGAATTGATTCCCTTATAGCATGACCTCAATTTGTAATTTGTCATATATTTCCTGCAAGAACTGCAATTCAGTCGACATTCTTTGTTCGTTTCCCCGGGAGACCGATGTTAATTTCACAACTTTTTACCGAACCAGACAATGATGGTCCTTGTATTTGCATAGAGCTGAAAACCAAATGCAGCTTTTTGGGTCAAACAGTCTCAGGTGTAGCAGCTCTTCCTTTCCCCAATTTTCACCACCAAATTTAGGTGAGGTTTGTGGCACCCAATTAAACTGTCTCCAGCTCTGTCTTGTTGAAGATTTGCATTTTGTTGTTGGGTGGATAATTAGAATCTTCACTTTAACAGCTTGGAAGGCAACTCTTGTGATTATTATAGTGCAATGCTTTTGCTTTGCCTTATGATTTTCTGTTTATGATATGAATGTAAAGAATGTTAAAACATTTTATATTTTCTTGTTTTAAAGGTGGACTGTGTAAATCTTCAGAAGTGAGTTCATAACATTCTTGTTTATATGGAAATGTCATTGCTCTGCCTGGAATATTCTGCAGTATGGCATTAAACAGCTCAAAAAAAAAAAAAAAAAAAAAAAAATCTGACTGTGAGGGGGGTTGCCACTCTGGCCTTTAACTGGGAGATAGAAACGTTTAAAACAATGACAAAGTAATAACATCTCTATGAAAACCTTCAGTCAGAAAGTTACACAAAGTACATTTAAAGGAACTGTGAGCTGTAGCTGTTAAGATTTTGAGTTGAAATTTTATAAACAAATTTGTGTTCATTTGTGTTCTCTCCCAAATGTAATCATGGCCTTTTCCTAATTATAAATAACATTCAGACATGGCGGCCAATTTGTTATAATTTGGTGTTTTGGTTCACAAGATGATTATCCAATCAGAAAGCAGAATGAGCCTCACACGAGTCTCTCATTTGGGTTGCCAGTTTCAATGGTGAAATGCTGCTGTTTTAAACCTAAAATGCCTCTCTTTGATCTGAATGATCACTACCTAAACCCCAGCATCTGCAACCAGTCATGTGACCTCTATCTGCAGGTTCATGTACTGGCAACCCAGGTTCAGTTGTAATTATAGTACTCTTCTTAAAAGAGTAAGAGCTACATACAGTTATTTACAGTGCACTATGTAACTTTTTTTGGATACTGTCTGCAACCTGCTTGTCTCTATGGAGCTGTTAATGTGTTGGCTTAAATTGTCTGTAGTATTAAACTAATCTGTGTCACATTTATTCAACTACAGGTCCTCTTTATTGTTCATAAATATCTTAAAAAACATCAATTCTTACTGTAAGTGGGGTCACCTCTCCACAGATCTAACCTGTAATTTGTCTTGCAAGTCTCCATAGATATTCTTAAATGTATATCTATACTGTGGAACATTATATGCACATCTCCACAGAGACAAGCAGGTGACGGACCCTGGGGTTATTCAATGAAGCGAGCTAAAGCTAAAGTCTGGTTTATTTGGCCAATCCAGGCTTGTCTAAGCCTCAGTTGAACTTCAGGCCTGAATTAGCTTGGTCAGAGTCAAGCTTTTTTCTGTCGTGACTGGAGATGGAGCTAGGTTTCAGCTCAGGATTTTAGGGTAAGCCTGGATTTGTTAAGCCATTTTGATGGAATACCCCCCCTGTTTGTTACCCTGCATTCTTAAACAATGCCAGGTAATAACTGTCATATGCCCTTATATCTACATGTATTTGGTGTACTAGTGATTGGCCATGTTCTCATAGTTCGGGAGTTAGACCCCTCTGGTGGGCAAATTTTTCTACCTTTTTCTAACTAGTATTTTACATTAGTTTGGGGTCTTTTGTTACTACTCAGCCCCACTTAGCAATTTATGGCCAAATGACTGAGAATTTTATCTGTCAGTTTGGGGGTATGGAACATTATTTGTGTTATATGGCAAAGGAGAAATTCAATTTATCAGGTGTCAGTTTCTCCTTTGCCATGGATTCGACCTGGACGACTGAGGGATTCTACACATATTTGTGTTATAGCAGGTGATCCACAGAGCTCATCTTAATCTTAATTTGAAGCTGACATTTTCTATTTACATTTGAAACTAATTTCATGCCACTGTCAGATGAAGATTTTTTTTTTTTAAATGCATTTTTCTTTATATATTTTTCTTTATATATTTTAACGAATTATACACAAATGCATATATATGTGTGATGTTATATTGCTGCATTCATGTCCTCATTCTTTGTTCCAAATTGTATGATTGTGACACTGTATGTGACTATAGCACCACTTTTAAGACTCATAATTTTGTGCAAGGTGGGTCTCAAAAAAGGGGATTTGGGGGTCTTGAGACCGAGCGAGGCAGACTTGAAACAAAAGACGAACTTGTAATGTCCCAAGTGAGACCCATGTGCACTCATGAAAATACTAGCAAAAAAAAAGGTAACAAAATAAGTGTAGAGGAGGGCTCTGGCTCTTGGACTATTAATATTTTATTGGATCTTATTGCAAAAACCAAAGCGGCCTTTTTGGTGGATTTGATTTTTTTTATTCCTCAGGCCTGCAACCCAATCAAATTTCTAAACTCTTATTAACCAAGCTGCCTAACAAAAAGTAAAAAGGTGATCTTGTTTTAATGAAAACAAAAAGCCCGTTTTTATTTTTCTGTTCCAACATGGAAATAATTGCACAAAAACTGATTGCAGTATTCTCTAACCAAGGTTGAGATATTGATGTTGGCTTTTCAATTAACAAAGCAAGGAACAGAGTTAACAAATTTTAATACATTTTCTACTGCAGATTGATTTTTCCTCAGAGATTCATTACAGCAAATTCCTAAAAAAAGCATAAGCTTGCATTCTTGTCACTTTCTTCACTATTGGTATGTCGAGGGCACGATGACATCCCCGTACATGCAGTCCTCCTCCACACCCAGGTTATATTTGCTTCCACTTCCTCCTTTGTAAGCGCTTGTCACGACCCTGGCCCAACCCTTCTCACCCTTCAGGAAAAAAAAAAAAAAAAAAAAAAGGAATTGTCACTTGGGTTAGAAACTGATTGCATGTACCATTTAAAGATACAAGGTTTTAAAATGTCAGGTCTATAAAGTTCCACTCGCTCACCCAAGGTTCACCCCAGGAGTTTCTTATGATCCAGTATTGTGTTCCGTTCTCCTCTCCCCAGCCGGACACGGACACCACGTGGTTCATGACGTGGGATTCTAAGTATTCCGAGTACAGACCACCAGTGTATTCGTCAAACTTTTGTGTGGCCATGATTCCACAGCTAAGAGGAAGACAAAAATATAAATATCATGTTACATTTAACGAATACTGATGTGTGAAAAATGTTAAAACTAGATATTTGGGCATTAAATACAACTGACCATAATAAAAAGTTATAGACCATAGTTCGGACTACACATTATATGCTCTGGACAATTTAGCAATACACTTAACTTATGTTATGCAATGAGAAGGGCCACACAGGGTAAAATAAAATATAGCAAAACCCCCAAAACAAACATTTAAAGCAGGGATATCTACTAGAGAGCTATGCATTATAGCAATCGCAAGAAACTGAGGGCAAGCCTTAGTGTTGTAGTTGGATGCCTCGGTAACACTTTATAATAACTACACCTTATTCAGCCTTAATAAAACATGAACAAAGACTTAAGAATGATTTACGCTTAGCAACTACTTAAATACTACCTTAATTAGCACTTGCACTTAATTTGCCTGTGCTGTAAATAGTTACTCATAATTATTTCATACTTAATTACTCATGGACTAACCATTTGAGCATTTATTAATCATTAGTAAGATATGAGAATGATTTACTAATAATGCAATACAATGATAATTCAGGCAGCCGTTATCTGTTAGTCAAGTCTTTTGGAGAGCTTTTCTAAAGTGAAGACTAATTATCCTTTATTAAACATTTACTAAGCATGAATCATTATTAAGTATTTGTTCATTATTAATTAAGTCTTTATTCATACTTTATTAAGGCTAAATAAGATGTAGTTATTATAAAGTGTTACTGATGCCTTTAAAACCTAAAACCAGTTCAAAGTTCAAAATAACACAGAGCTTCTGGTAGTTCCTGAGTTGCAGGTTAGAGATCCCTGATTTAAAGTATTCAGTTTAGATATTCAATTACTCTCCATGATATCACAGTATCAATCTGATAATTAGCACGTTTGAAAAGGTTGAGGTGGCACAACTACTGCATGATTTTATGGAAATAGCAAGTTAACCCCGTAACGCTGACTGTCACAAATATGCAACAAACCATTTGGATCAAGCTATAAACCAACATAATGGCATCATTCCCCCTGTTACACTTAGTGTATATGCAGCGCCTTCCAAGGAACCTTCGGCAAGCACTTGTTTCTAGTTGTTGTAAATTTGCAACATATACACATGTCTATTTATTCATTTATTTTTTGCTATAGTCAAATTAATAATCTCAACTTAATTTATCATCCACTTGCAAAAACACACCCAAAACATCTTTTTATATACATCTATATAAATTCAGGCATTAAGGGGTTAAACCATACTTTGGAAGATTCTCCATGGGGAGGGATAACTTCTATTACTCGGGAATATTGAGTCAAAAGACCAACTTTTCCACATAAACAGGACCACCTTCAGGCCAAGTAAGAGCCAGGTTTGTGGCAAGTCAAGCCTGCCAACAGTAAGGATGCATTTTTCTTAGTTTTTCAGTGCAATAAACACATTCAAATTTAAGAAAATTACAACACAATTACTGTATTTCAGTTTCAAAAGGTTGTCTTCACCCAAAACCAAACTCCTAACCCGTATGTGCCAAACATGCATCATGTCCATTATACTCATTTTCTGTAACCCTTATTTTCCTAAATCACTGCAACCCTAACATCTAACCCAAAGTAGTGTTACAAGTATATGCTGTATTCCAACTTGAAACTACTTTTTCAATTTCCTCTACTTCAACCCACAGAGAAGCGAGCCCAAGGGAAGAGAACTAGGAGTATAGTCAGCAAGTTATAGAATATGGGATGCGGCCACAGCAGATCTCAAACCTGATTGGTCCTCTGGCGAAGATCTCGGCCATCATATTGAGCCGTCCGTGGATGGGTCCGAAGTCGCCCACCCTCCACAGACTGAAGTTGTGCACCTCACTGCACTGTCCAAAGGTGCTGCAGGTCCCGCAGCGGGTGAAGGGCTGGCATTCTGAGCACGGACAGAAATGTCACCCACGCATTGATTAAAAAGGAGAAAAGTGCATGAATGGCCACTGGGGGTCTATGAGGTGGGAGTTAGAAGTAGACAGGGGCTTTGATAGGGGTCACATAGATCACATTTAAAAAAAAAGGAAAACTAAGGTAAAATGTGTCAGAGTTTTACTTTTATAGGAAGAAATACGATTCATGTGAAGCAGTTTCAATGTCAAAAAGGCAAGATCTGTTTTATGTAAATGAGTTGCACTTTTTGACCTGTGATGTTGACCTTTTAAAAAACATATACAATGCTATTTTAGAGTACAATTTTGTCTTCAGATTCTGTAGGCCTTTTAGCTGAAAAAAACAAACATTATTGGGATTACATTTTTATAAATCAATACGCCAGGTTAACAATGCTCTAAGTGAATCACAATGGAGGGAAAAAAAAAGAATTGTTGACTTTCAGGAGTTCATGTCTTTCCGTTGGCAGATATTCACAACAGAAATATGATGCAGCACTGATTTCACAATTCAAGAGGCGGAGGTGGCTCAAACACAAAACAGGGGTCCAATCTCAGCTGTGGTGCCTGATGCTGTTGTGTCTTTGGGCAAAACACTTCACTCAGCATGTCTATAGTATATGTTTATGTGGCTTTCATGTGGCCATAGAATTACATTGCCACCAGTGTGAAAGAAAAATCTATATAATGTAACTGTTATAGTGAAAAGGCAACATAGAAATTTGTGATTTATTATTAGGATTATTGTCACAGAAGAGAATTTCTGAGGGCAAATTTTTATTTGTATTTTTTTAACAATTTGATGGTGCTGATTCAGAATATTTAGTTTACCAAGCTGGATTTTGAGTTCTATAGCCTTCTAATTAGCATATTAATAATGTATATAATTTATGAATATATTTATCTATCCATCCATGTTCTTCCTCTTCTAAGCAGGGACTCCCAGACTTCCTTCACCCCAGATACTTCCTTCAGTTCTTCAACTCCTCCTGAGTCACCTAGAATCCAAACCTAATAAAAATCTGAATCAGGAATTTTTCATTTTTGCTCATCAAATGAAGGAAATGAAGGACGTTAGCTTTAAAATGCTGCAGTATAGCCTTGTCTATTTCAGTATGCTAATTAGGGGTCATGTGGTGATTTCTATCCTAGTTATAATATTTATCTGATATACATGCAGTATACTGGCATTTCTTTTCTGGACTTTTTATGAAATCCATTCCATTAAAGAGAACCTTCATTTGATTAGCCTGGCGTCTTAAAACTCAAATTCAGCTTGGTAAACAAAATATTTGGAATCAGAACCCTCAAATTATGGGAAATGGCATGTTTACCGACTTATGTGACTTATGTTGGAGAGATTCTGTTGAGCTATAATCCACCTGCTCCAATCTGAAAGCACCATAAACCAGAATGTGACATAGGGTTTATCAGAATAACTGATTTGTCAACTATTAAAACAATAGTATTTCTTGATGAAGGTAACTTAATGAGACTATACAGACTGTTAGTATATATCACAGATGAAAGGGTATTTTATAAAAGGGGTGTAAAACTTTAATCAAGGGCCCCATTTCAACATAGACGATGCTGAGGGCCACAGACTGTTATCATTCAATCAACATTTTATTTCAAGCATGTGTCATTTACATATAATGCAAATCAATGCAATCTGTCAAATATTTAGCCAATATTTGATGTAGCTATCCCTTTTTTATTCAGGTCTGGAACTGAAGAAAAAAATGCCAAAATGTTAAATACTGATGTTAGTAAAGGGTTTACTTAATTTAAATTTGCAGCAAAAACGTACTTCTCGTGGTCATTTGTCATCGCTAATTTATTATGAAGTGGCATGTCCAAAGACAGCAGCACCATTAAATCAAAATGTCAAAAGAAAATACACCGTTTGAGTTTCCTGAATAATGCATTTCATTAGTAAATTAAGTAGATGCTTTTAAGTAATACTTTAAAAATGCACTTCTAATCACTGGCATTTAACCCGGTATGAGAATTGTGTGGTCATCTTTTAAATTTTTATATGTGCCATTTACAAATTGTATATATTTTTATGTTTTTAATTACTCTAATATAAAAATTTTAATACTATATTTTATTCAGTCTGTTTACTGAAGCATGTGAACTTGAGGCTGTTGGAAAAGTGCTACAAATAAAGTTGGATTGCACAGATGGGACAAGATCTCGTGCCACAAGGCCTCGTGAGACAAAGTTGCTCCAACACTGTGTGCACAAAAGATGAAGTGCTGCCGAGTTACACCTCTTGAGAAGCTGCAGTTCCCAAAAGCAACTCAAGCTTGTCAAAATTGTCTCTCGGCCAAAGCCCTGTTGGACTGTAAATATTTGATATCCAGAAGCTTTCAGTTGCCATATTTCAACCTTTTAGTTACAAATGAATTTAAAATCATTAGAGCACAATAAACAGAATCGTGTGACTAGTAAACCGCCAAAATAATTGTTAACAGCAGTTTTAATGTGACAACCAAATAAGCCTATCACAAAACAAACTCTGAAGCATAATATATTGCTGCAGAGCTATGGAACTGCATCATGTCACTGACAATAAAGCAGGAGAATCCCAGTAAACCACTTTTTCAGTAAACAGTCTCATTAAAAGGCCTGAGCTGCAACAATCAAATAGCAGAATGAACTGATAATTAGCCATAGAAGTAGCCTGAAAACAAATTTTGAAGTGCTATGTAATGTTGATTAAAAAAAAAATTATAATACAGGTGATAAGTGAAAATACTGAAACCAAATTATGCCACTGACAACACAAATCAGGCAAGATTCTCCCGAAAACTACTCTAAGCAACATTGTGAAAATTAACAGCTCAATAAAAAACACTTTTATAGTTAGTTTGCATCGAGATGACTAATAGAGGTAATTTATTCAACCTTCTATACCTCAAATCTCATCTTGGAACAGAAAAATAAAAGTTTCTGTCGAGTACACAGAAAAAGTTAATCTGTCCATTTTCTTCCGCTTATCCGGGGCTGGGTCACGGGGGCAGCAGTCTAAGCAGGGACTCCCAGATTTCCTTCAGCTCCTCCAGGGGGCTCCCCGAGGAGTGTCATCCCCGGGACATGCCCGGAACACCTCCAGAGGAAGGCAACCGGGAGGCATCCTAAACAGATGCGAGCCAGCTCAGCTGGCTCCTTCTGACGTGGAGCAGCAGCGGCTCTACTCAGACATAGGGTGAGGAGCTCGAAGAAACTAATTTCGACTGCTTGTATCTGCAATCTTGTCCTTTCAGTCATTACCCAAAGCTCATGACCATAGGTGAGGTAGGAACATAGATTGACCAGTAAATCGGCCAAGAAAATGTGCCCCAATAAATATTGACCAAAATATATTGTTCAATCTTTCATACATTGAATCATAATACAATGATACAGGTGCCTAATTATCATGATAGGTCTACATAGAAGTCATTTATTTAACCTTCTACAGCTAAAAACAAAAATCCCCTCCATTATTGCAAAGAAACACATAATACTGAGCCCAAAAATATATCATTACAGCTTTCATATAGTGACTGAAGTCGATATAGTAATTATCGTGAGGCCTACAAACAACTAATTCGTCATGAACTTAATTTCCAGCCATTCATTCATGTCTGTCATACCTTGATCAATGGCCCTGTAGTTGTTGCAAGTCTCATCTGGTATTCCGTGTTTGTGTGCGTATTCCCAAACTTTGACGTGATCCCCTCCGTGACAGGTGCCAGCGCCTGCACAGTCAATCACGTGCTGAACTGACAGGTACGCAGACGGCCACGCTCCTCTCCTCTTAATATTGACGCGATCTACATGGAAAATACAAAAATAAAAGTGTCACCAAGCATCATCCATTTCCACAGAACTAGTTTCTAATGATGCGGTGTCAGCGAGGCCCATCTGGTGGTTAGTCCGAAGCTTTCATTTGCATATACTATTCTGGGTAAAACACTCGCACTCATTCCTCAAGCAGCGCCACCACGGTCCAAATGGGCACGCTCCAAATTCATTAGTGTTAGTGGAATTGGGCAATTGGCTCACTAGACAAACTATTTCCAGAGTTGGATGACCCAGATATTCATTTACATTGCATTTAGTTCTGAGCTTGAAAGACCATTTAAAAAAAAGTCCAATATATAACTCCGAAGTGACTCTTTAAGACATGTTAGAATGTTGTTATCTCCTCAGAAACATACCTGTATTTACATCATTACACGTTTGAGTAACCCTTTATCCATCGACTCAAAACACTCTGCTCCTCGTTGTGATGGCATGAAGTGGTAGTTCAAGTTAACAGCTAACTTTTACCCTTAATTCAGTAGAGACTGGCAATTCCAGGGTTGAAATGATCCAAATGATTCTAGTGTAACCGAGTGATTTGGGGAAAAAAAAAAAAAAGGACAAGGGCAATGTGGTATAAAAATTTACACATCTTTATTTAATATTCTAGACATTTCAAATTATTTCCATTTTTTTTGGAGGTACACCACTACTACTAACAAATCAACCCTTGCAAATGCAGGATTCAACCCACCCCTAACTAAACACAACAAATCAAAGTTTGTAATCTCAAACCAAACATTAACAAAAAACAAACAGTCAGTTAAACTCTACACATAAATTAAAGTGCTACGTAAACACGAATGCTGTGCCAACTGGTACTTAAAGTGCGTGTGCCAAGGTATTTGAGGTAGACTTTAAGTTAGTGCATAGAGTTCTAGATGGTGAAAGTGCTTATGCTGAGGGCGGCCTATCTGGGTAAAGTGACTCGTGCCAACACTGAAGCCTAACCTTGCATTGCACTGCGAATCCAGCCAGATATTGAACTTCCTCTCCAAGACCTCAGCTACTGTCCTACAGCATTCATCAAATAAAACAACAACACTAAGAATATGAATAAGGAGCAAGAATAAAGAATAAAGCAGCAGTGGCAATCGAAACTTTAGAAGGGGCACTCTACATGGGGTCGGAGCATGTTGGGAGCGGCCACCGTCACAGCCGTCTCCATATAACACATGCGCCATGTGTGACGGTGGGAGCCACGCACGGCGATGCACAGGCGGATGCATTTGCGGACACATTATGGTAGGAAAAATCTAGTTCTTGTGACCACCTGCTTACACTAGTGAAGGCGTATGGAGTTTAAAAACACATTTGAGCACTTCCTGTATTACTACATAACATCACAAGCTGGAACAGTGTTTTCCATTTGACAGAATAACAGTATAAATATGCAGGATGTGTGTGTTAAACATGTGAATGAAACTAAATACTCCAGGGATGTTTTGATGAGGGAACGTCATAACAGAGCAGACAATAGTGTAATATAGGCCCTTTAACGTTTGGCTTTACAATTACTAAATAAGTTTAAAATGGATTGCGTTGATTGGCTGAGGAATGCACGTTATGAATGGGGTAACTTCACCATCAGATGCAGTTTTGATGTTTTTACTTAGGCTTCACTGATCTATAAGGGAAAATGGTCACAGCAACTTGGTCAAAGTATCTCTTTCATATTAAAAAGGTCTTTATGTGCAGTTGGCAGGATTTTACAACATAATCAAGAGTAAATAAGCCCATATGCTGTATAATTAACATAAATAAGAAGGGCATTTTCAGATTAGGAAAAGGCTGGTTTATGGTCCAGCGTCAAATTTATGGATGTGCTGCACAGTTCCCCGATGCACCCTAAATCCAGACAGAGGGCTTGCACCTCGGCTGCTAAGTTACTACTTGTCAAATTTCCGCCAAACGCAAGACATTGATTGGTTGATCCACAAAGACAGACAATTGATTAAAAATGGTTCAAAGCAGCTAAAGTTTGGTACAGCAATGTCTGTCTATAAGTCCAGAGTGATTCTTTATTGTTGGTTATATTGCATGGTTCAGGTCTGCATCGAGGTCAGTTCTGAGCTGAGCGAGGCTTGGCGCCAAATATAAACCAGCCTTTAGCGCGGTGTGATGAGGGGACTAAAGGTCAAAATGCTGCTGCAGATCACATTCTCACAACACACTTCAGGTCAAAAGAACTGAACCAAAAGAATATACAATACTGGTCTGAGGTGGCACTGCACTGCAAATGCATTTAGCAAGATTTCTTATTTGGATTTTCTTAATGTAGCGAGAAAAATCACAGGAATAGGCTCATTACTTACAATATAAAAATATTGCAATAAACCAGATCTAAATCACCCCCCTAAATGGAACTCAACAGCAACAGTAATTTCCCAATCCCATAAACTTTACAAAAACTGAAATAATAAAAGAGTTCAAAGGCATTATGGAGGTTAGCCATAGTTTAATATCCCTGTACTGTTGTTTTCAGTCCAAAAACACATTTAACAGAAAATTTGGCTAAATGTTTTCATAACTTTGGGATCAGATTTAGATATTCTAGGTCTTGTGGTCAGTTTCTACAGAGCAAAATACTTGTCCAGGAAAGTGTCAAACATTTTTTGGAAAATCTATGGGAAAAATTGGCGGGTGGTCAATGCTGAGCTGCCTTCTTCCTGTCAATGTCAAAGTGCACTCTTTATGGATCCAACCAATTGATACTTTACAGTGACGTCACGCTGGGGTGTTGTACATGTGTCTTAATGGTGGAATTTTCTGCACTTACCATGGACACACACACACAGACACAAACAGCCACACTTTTCAGCAGCCTGTGATCAATACGGGTGTTCATGGTCATGTTTACATGTTGTTGACTTTCAACAAAAAGGCACTTGTTTAAAAGCACAAATCAGATCAAATGTTGTAGTTCCAGCTAAATTAGTTCTTTGTGGTGAGATTGTGTTAAAATGAAGCTCAGATTAAAACATAACTGAGCATCAGACAGAGAAGTGCCTACAGGTAGCTTCACATTCCCAGGTAATACTGATGAAAGTATGAATAATGTTATGCCCGTGTAAAGAGTGACGAGCACAGACCTGCAATGGCGCTGGTGCTGCCGTGAGCCCAGCAGGAGCCACAGTACTGAGGGATGTGCTGGTTCCTTGTGACACTGGCGTAGTTCACCCCGTTGACGTTCCTCCAGTCCCAGGACTTGGGCAGTTCAGCCAGGTTCAAGATCTCATGAGGACGGGCTTCACTTCTGCTCAAAACAAGCGCAATGACCAGAAATCAGTCATTTTTAATTTAATTCTTTTTTTAAATCATGATGATAAAGAAATATTGACTTAAGTTTTCAAATGACTGTAGACCAGTGGTGGATGAATTACTCAATTTTGTTACTTAAGTAAAAAGTACAGATACAGGGGCAAAAGATTAAGTAAAACTACTGAAGTATTGTTTTAAAATGTACTTTAAGAGTAAAAAGTATTTGCAGAAATGTTTAAAACAATTAAAGCATCAAAAGTAGTGATTAGAAAGAAAATAATTTTGCTGATTTTTTTTTTTTTACTGATTTTCAGATAATTTCTTTATTTTTCTAGCTATTGTTGTGCTTTTGTGTGTTTGATTTGCATAAAGTTGGGATGTTAACTAAAAATCAATCTGCTTTTTCAGCAGGTCAAAAACCATAAGAGAAAAAGTTTACTTTTCAGTCCAGATTTAAAATGTAATGGAGCAGAAAATACAGATACCGGCTCTCAAATGTAGTGAAGTAAAATTAAAAAGTATCCACTGGAAAATGTACTCAAGTACAAATTTTAGGTATCTCTGCTTTACTCAAGTATTGTATTTTTATTTTTGTTCTTTGTTACCTTCCACCACTTCTGCACACAGATTAATGGAACTGACAAAAGGGCAGTCAACAGTTTGCTTTTTTTTTTTTTTTTTTTTTTTTTACAAGCTGTAAAGTGTTGAAAATGTTACTCCTCAACTCTCATTACATGTGATAAGTAAACTTCTAAAGAAATAATCTAAGCTACCATTTTACTATAACCTTGTGAAATGAACAAATACATATTTAACTCATTGGACACTAGTGTATGAGGTATTGCAATGTGTGCCTTGCAGAATCATTTTGTAGTGTCCTGACTGAGCAACTTCTGAACCATTTGACAAAAGGGGCAACAAAATACCTTTTTCCCCCCAAATGGTGTTGCAAAATTTGGTATGATTAGTGGGTGTGCTGTGGAATCTTTTACTTAAAACTACTAATCATTTGTGAAAGTAGTATCAAATATTGAACTTACTAATACTGATGCTGGAGTAATACTTAAAAATCACAACATATAGTAAAATAGTCTTGACCTGAACAATTATAAAACACTAAATGCATCTATGAACTTTGAAATGCAGTCAGAAGGGATGAAATTAAACTATTATTTTCTCTTGGGCTATCAATATCTATATTGATTATCCAGCCTTGTCCTTAGTATTGGAATTTGACTTGGAAATTGTGAATTTCCAAGTCAATCATCTGCTAAAGATTTTCTGGCATGCTCTCCATCTCATTACTTACAATCACTTCTTACACAAACTCTTCTCTGTACATACATTTCATTCCACATTTCCAACCCAATTTAAAACCTGAAAAAAGAAACCAAAAATGATAAAGAATCATCTCTCTACTCACTTCACCCCAAAATGTTCTCTTCTTGGCATTGGCTTGTAACACGTCGTATTCCATCTGTGTTTTCCTTCACTCGCTGCAGTTAAAATCAATAGGATAAAAATGACTAGCTTAGCCATGTTCGCACATAGTATGCAGCAGAGCCCTCACTTGAAGCATAGATGTAGTTGATGCACTGAACAATGGCTTGAGCTGGTTGGGTGTCATCAGGCTAATTGGGTGCTATTGATTCCACCTGCACAAGGCTGTTGACCTATTATCCACTGGATTCTGGATGAAGTGTTTAGTAAGCAAGCGGTAGAAAAAAGAGGAGGAGATGGTTGTAAAGTGAAAAGCAATCCATTTTGTTATCATAAATATGATATAGTGGACATGGAAAAATGGAAGCTGCAGCGTTCAATGTGCAGTTGCGGTTGATTGATTCATTATCATGGTCACAGTATGAATGCATGTTTTTCAAGGTATTGCCTGAGCATTAAAAGCATTTACAATCTGACGAATGCGAGACATACAAGTTTAATGTCATACCTTGAAACGTTTCAGGAAAAGCAATGACACCTCCATGGTGAAAAAAAGAAGTAGGTCAGGTTTTGTTCATTCAGTTGCAGTTATTGAAAAATATGAAAAAAATAATATAAAAACACCTGATATTGGTTAAATTACGATATATATATAAGTTTAATGCTGTTCTATGAAACATTAAAATAAAAGTGAAAAAATGCATAGCACACTCAGAAGGCAGATGTCCAAAACCTTTTTTAAATTTTTAGGCTATATTTTTATGTGATGACGGTCTGAACAGAAGACGCAAAAGTGGCGTTGCGTCTTCATTTTTTATTCTGCGTTTAGACAAGCGTTTTCAGGAGGAAATCTGCGTGCATATAGTGACGCAAAAGTGTGTGGAATTCAATGGGGTATGCATGTCAGGCGGCTCGGTGGTGATGTATGTGACATAAACATGTGAGCAGATTTGACTAGAGTTTTGCGTCTTGGGCAGTGTAGAGCATGTTCAACTTTTACACTCTGGAGGGTGGTTTCAGATTTTTATGTTTTTAAGTTCCCAAAATGCTGTCACTGTCTAAAAGAAAGGCACTTCCTATTAAATATTTTGTCGTTTTTATCTGCAAGCGTTCTCGTGTTAAAAGGCCCTTAAAGAACATTTTGCCGAAAAAAAATAAATAAATAAAACTTAATCAAATTGCTTTGAACCATAGTAGTTGGTGTACTGAAAGTGATCTGATGAAGGCTTTTTTTTTTTTTTTTTTTTGTCAAAACATTATAAAAAAAAGCTTTTATACATAGGCCAACTGAATGTGCTATGCATTTTTTCACTTTTATTTTGCTGTTCCTTACATTTGCATCTCTACTAGAACTTTCTGATACTATGACACATTATAAAGTAAACAATGACATCTCCATGGAGAAAAAACTAGGTTAGATTTAGTTTTTTCAGTTGAAGTTAGCAAAAAAATATTAATTAAAATTGGTCAAATGGAAGAAAAAAAGAATAAAATAAAATACCGATTATAGGAATACCACAAGAAAGAGAAAGCTCTTTGGGGGAGCGTACAGGAGCAGAGGAGATTAGCCTGAAAGCTCTCCTCTGGCAGCAGCCCAAACTGTGACTGTACTCTTGATTTAACACTTAGACTCAGATTAAATGTTGTTTGCCCTCAAAAAACATTCGGGGAAAACCTGTAATGTGGCTCTAATGGGAAATCCAGTAAGAATGGCAGGAAGCTTGCAAAGAGACAGTGGTTTCTTTGGGGCAATTATAATAGCACTGTTTAGATATGAATGTAGATCAATAATAATGCAATATGCTTCGGTGATTTCTAAACACTCAAAATTATTGTTTGATCTGTCTTTTCAGCACTACACACTGTCACACTTCCAGGTTTTTTGTTTATTTTGTGGAGAAATTTAGCTCAAAGCAGGGGTCAGTTAGTGCCTCCGCTCAATTTCTTTTCTCTCCAACGATTAGGTCAGGAATTGGAAAACACTAGATGGTTTGAAAGAACCTCGGAAGTTGTAGACCGCACCAGCCAGTCAGCGAAAAGCTGTGAAGCCTTGATTAGGTCCTTTTTGTGGTATAGCACAACAGTAAACAAAGTGGTCGAGATGGATGTACGTAGACGGAGCCATACATTCTGTATTGGCAGCGCGAGATTGAGGCATTCCTGAGATTGAGGATTTAAAGCCGGAACAAAGAGAATGTTTGGTGAATTTTATCAAGGGGAAAGACATTATTGCCCTTCTTCCTACGGGATTTGGGAAAAGCTTAATATACCAGCTAGCCTCGTTAGCGGCGCATTACATACATCATGACCAAATAGCAGTGATTGGTTAAATAAAAAAGCGAACGGATACTAATGCTGTGAGACAGTTTCCACAAAGTGAAACTGGCTGATGATTCAGGCGAAGGGTCAGTAGCATTAACATAACATACAGACATTACATGACATAACACATATGTATACAATACATTACATGACTAAATACAAAAGAAAAACTAGAGAACTGGACAATACGCAAACACTCAGGCTTTCCACATCAGCACAATCAGCCCATGTTTTTAATACATTTTATGGACACTTACACATATATGTCATATAGCCAGGTTTGGTCGCGTGTCTTGCCCCAGGATACACTGGCATTTTGTGTAGAGACACATGGTTCATTACATTTCACTTCATTTTAAAAAATTTGTTTCTCTCATGAAAATGCACAGTAGCAGAAGCCATTTCCATGATTAGAAAGGAACAGATATGGAGAAAAAAAACAATAAAAAAAACCAAACATCTTATATTACGTTTGATCTGGTGGAACATCCATTTTCTGGACACTGAGGGCAAGGCAGGTAAAGTGTCTTGCCCGAGGACATAGTGGTATACATTTGAGGACCCTATTTTAACAATCTCCTATGGACATACACGATGTCTCTACCTTACAATAAGAGCCATGCATACGTCCATGGGAGGATCTACAGCTGGAAGTTCATGTAAGGCTTCTAATGGCTTCTATTCTTGGAGCCATTAGTGGGACCTTGTTGCTCTTGGACTGTAAAGCATGAAAGAATGGTGGCCACAACATTTTATAGAAATTATACTTAATTCTATTTAGCTTCTATTTACAAAGATGCACACACGTAGCATTTTATTCTTCTTCTTCTTCTCTGAAAGCTTTGACGAAGGCAGAATGATGAGAATAAGGCCTTGTGATGTAACAGTCATGTCTCCATTAACCAGACAGTTGGCAGTTCAATTCCCATTTCCTGTTAAAGTTTGCCCAAGGCCATTGCACAGAGCACCAAAGCATTTTATTCACATGAGTGTTGTTACTTCAATAATATTATTCAAGTAGAAGAATATAGTAGGGATCATAGGAAAATAGTAAAAAAGAAAAACAGTAAGAGTAATACAAAGCTTCAAGTGAAACTACTACTTGAGTAATTCTAAGAGAAATGATTTGGATATAACATTTAATTTATGATTTGAGGTTTATGACAAAAGGCAGTAGTTCAGTTGGTACAGCATTTGTACACTGATCTGAAGGGTGGTAGTTCGAATCCTGCTCTTGACATAAACAGCATTGGTTGGAGGAGCAGTTCCAGGTCCCACAGAGAAATGCTGTTCCTGTGTTCTTGGGCAAAACACTTTATCAACCCCCCCAGTGTCTGCGTACATTGGTGTATGAATGGGTGAGTGGTTCTTGGTGTAAAGCCCTTTGAGTGACTTGAAGATGGAAAAGTGCAGGATAAAAATGCGATCATTTTAAAGAATGCATACATTTATGCAGTTCAAAGGATAGATCATAATAGCAATGGTGAGCCATTAAGCAATGTGATTTTTATACAAATAAAGCTCATTCATTGTGAACAATATTTGACTGCAGAATTTATGAACGTAAAAATGCAGAAGTCTATAGTTTTACCTATGAAAAGTCCTGTGAAATACATAAAGCGTTATTGAGAGCTCAGAGACGACTACATTAGATTGATAAAACAAGCACAAATGAAGCAAAATGCAGCTCCAGGGATGTTTTAGATGAAAACCTGAAAAAAGTAATACAATGATTGTCTATTTTATGTGCATAGACCGTTTACGGTACAAATCTTGTTTAGCTAAAGCATTGTTTCCCAAAGACTGGGTGGCGACCCTCAGGTGGGTTGCAACAGAATTTTTTTGGGTCGCCTTGTCATGATCTCTGACACATGTTGAAATGTTAAGACATGTTTTGTACAATTTCTAATCTTTTTGTAATTATTGTTGTAACTATTTTGTTCCATTATTGCTGGTTCAGTTGAATGCTGAAAAGAAAAAGAAATGGACTAAATTTTATGTCCAAATAGGCGACTTATGGATCCTTTTATTGCTGGTTCAATGACTGTTTTACATTGTTTAAAACTTAAGTAATACTAATTGTTCAGAGACACGATCACTCAGTCAACAATAAAATATCCTCATTAATGTTCATTAATGGTCAAATCCACCTTTATTTTGTGATTTACGAATAATGTCAATTGACTTGGGTCACTAAGGTTTGGTTTGTAAGATTTAAAAAACTGAGCTAAAGTGTCATCATCATCTATACACCCACGATCTTCTCATATGCTCTGACCCTTGTGAAAGTGGAGTCTGGATCGGTGTGTGGTTTTGTGAACACAGCATAACCAACTGAGCCCCTGCCACGAACTCATCTGCAGGAATAGAAAGTCATATTTAATACATTGATTAAAAACTAATCCCCCATGTGTGTCGGAGCTAGAAGTCATTTTGCTGTAATGGAGACTATTAATATTTAGATACGAAAAAGAAAGCAGAGCCCGGGTTGGCAATCAAATGGAGGATGGTAAATGATATGTAAGTCTCCCAATGAGTGATGAAACCAAGGCTGCAATGCAAATCAGTCTAAATTGTGTCTAATTAACTTCTTTTTCCCCTCAGCTAAATATAAATGTTTGTTTTTGAGAGTCATTTTTCCTCATTATTCTGCAGACACGCACTCAGATGTGAAAAATGCACAGGCTATTAGCATGAAGGCATTACCCATATAGAAAGAGCCAATTCTACAACATAATTTAAAGTTGTTTTGACCCATGGATACTTTTATTTCCAAATTTATAAACAGTTAGATTTGTATTTGTATTTGAGAGTATTTAAAATTTGAAAAAGAATGGGAAATATTACATCATTGTTCAATCATCTTTTTAGTTTATTGATTTTCTGAT